AGGACGAGGGGGGGGGGAGGGGAGGAAACTGATACATAATAACAGCGGAGAGGAAAACAACGAGATTATGTAACATTTTGTTGTGTAAAAAAGAACATTTCTTTGTGGAGGTCAGTGGCGGTTGGTGATGGTTGGTGGAGGTCGGCGGCGGTTGGTGGAGGTCGGCAAAGGACGGTGGTGGTTGGTGGAAGTCGGCGGCGGTTGGTGGAGGTCAGTGGCGGTTGGTGATGGTTGGTGGAGGTCAGCGGCAGTTGGTGGAGGTCAGTGGCGGTCGGTGATGGTTGGTGGAGGTCGGCGGCGGGAGGACGATCTTCTCTCCCCGGAAGTCGGACATTTTCAGCGGAAGGTTTGAGTTGCTGTGATGAGAATATTCCGGAACATTCCTAATTGGGAGTGTCAGACGTGAACACCTGCCGGTCACATGACCCGTCTCTCCATTTCCATATGGAAATCTCTCACATACGCCGTGGCGGAGGAGAATCTTCAGAGTGAGCGGCCCAGAAGGACCGTCAGAGACCGCGCCTCACACAGGGACCGTCAGAGACCGCGCCTCACACAGGGACCGTCAGAGACCGCGCCTCACACAGGGACCGTCAGAGACCGCGCCTCACACAGGGACCGTCAGAGACCGCGCCTCACACAGGGACCGTCAGAGACCGCGCCTCACACAGGGACCGTCAGAGACCGCGCCTCACACAGGGACCGTCAGAGACCGCGCCTCACACAGGGACCGTCAGAGACCGCGCCTCACACAGGGACCGTCAGAGACCGCGCCTCACACAGGGACCGTCAGAGACCGCGCCTCACACAGGGACCGTCAGAGACCGCGCCTCACACAGGGACCGTCAGAGACCGCGCCTCACACAGGGACCGTCAGAGACCGCGCCTCACACAGGGACCGTCAGAGACCGCGCCTCACACAGGGACCGTCAGAGACCGCGCCTCACACAGGGACCGTCAGAGACCGCGCCTCACACAGGGACCGTCAGAGACCGCGCCTCACACAGGTTCACATACGCGGTATCGCCGCACACGAGAGGGGCAGGAGGAGGAGCTATTCCGGGTGACGGCAACAAAGTTTTATAATGATTATTTATGAGCCATT